CACATTAAGAAGCTGCAGAGAATAAAATAATATGTTATGATAACATATAGTAACATGTACATCTTAGCTAAGTTTTAACATGTATTATAAAATTAAACTGCAAATTACCTGAAAAGGGTTGCTAACTGCCCAAGTGTTAAAATTGACAGTGCTCATAAATATCTTTTTCCATTATAAGTTCTGATTTTATTTGGACTAATAGAAATTCCAGTAAAGCACAGAAGAAATGGTTTTAGTTTTTAAACAGAGATAAGCTTATTTAGAGGTTTATATAGCTGCAATCAGTGCAAAATCACAACAGGACTTAGAGGTCATTTGCAGTGAAACACAGGTTCTCTCAGAATCAACTACAACTCCTGCAGCTGTGGCACTGTGATCAGGCTAAAAACAACCCTTCTGAGAGAGCTCATGCTGGTACTTAACTTGGTTCCCTGCCAGCTCCAGTCCCAATGGGATATAAAGGTGCATGAAGGCTGTACAGCTTCTACCCCCAAGTCGTAATCCAGTTCTTCTCCCAGAATGGTACAAGTGGGGAGGGCAGGAAATGCATGATTCAGAAAGAATGCCTCTCTGATTTCTTAACTGGAAATGTATATACAGACAGCTCACAGTGAAGACTTCAGTTTGGATTTGTTTACCTCCAACGGTGGAGATATACCCCAAGACTTTAGCTTGTGGTAAGATCCATGCACCTATGCAGAGACCATGAAGTACACTAGACATGTATCTCTATTTGAGTGAAGAGGGCAAGATGATTTGTTTTGGCCGTATAAGAGAAAGGAGAATTTTAAAGTGGCTGATACTAGTTATCAGCCCCCCGTAACACTTTCAAATTTACATAAAATCTGCCATGAATTCAAATATTCATCACCTTATATTGACCTTCTTGCTTGATAATTAGCTTTAAATTTGTAGGCAATACATTGGAAAATTAATTAACATGGCTGTAGTCAGGTTTTATGATATGAGACTTTAGATCCTTATGCTAGTTAATTTAAAAAATAAAAACATATCAGCAGACATTTTCCTGGTTACTTCTAGAATCTAATGAAAGCATAGTGACCAGGATGTAGGCAGTCATCTACAAATTAGGCTTACAGCTCAAAACCAGGACAGAGAGAAGAGACACATTAGCCTAAAAAAAAAACCCTGAGAGTGAAGAATTGCTGAAAACCTGCAGCCTGGTGGATAGACAAAATAGGTCTTAGGTGCTAGATCAAATTTCAGAAAAACACAAAGTTTATCTCTGAAGGCAGAGAGAGCAACAAAAGGAACAGGGAAATGGCTAAAAGTCAGAGTACAGAAAGAGCCAAGAAGGGTTCTTTGATGGGAAACCTGTATTCTGTAGAAACAGGCTACGTGCTCCCAGGGAATCTGTAAATCTAGGCGTTCCTGTTGCATATGTCAATCATGGCCAATTACTCATAATTTCCAAGCTATGCACACTATGGTACACACATATAGGTTATCAGCTACTGGATCCAAGACAATCGTTAGAGATAGGGACCTGCTGATTTTTTCTGTTGTTGGCTTGGTTTTGGGGGTTGGGCTTTTGGGGTGGTTTTGGGTTTGGGGTTTTTTTTTGCAATAGATCTTAGTGACTGCTTGCAGGCTGGCCCTTAAGATAATTTTAAGATGTGTATCAGCAAAGACTCAGTTATACTGTTGCCCACTCTTCTTTAATCTCCACAGAAGGTATCATTCATCCTTTATGAAGCCACATTTTAGCAAGCACCAGAAAACAACAAAAGAAAGCTGATCAGTAAACAAGTCAAGAGCTCAGGCATGTGACCGAGTTCCTGCATATCAGCTGAGTCACAATAACTGACCTTGCTTGCTCTTGCTAAGGTAGAGGTTAGATGAAAGTGGCTTAAGCTAATCTTCACTGCCTGAGAGTTGCAACAAGTCACACGCAGCACAGCTCATTTCTGCAGCTAAGCAAGCACAGAGTATTTTGTTATATCAGAGTAACCAAATTGTAATACCAAACAGCATAGGCTGGATCTACCTAAGGTGCGCCTCTAAAACAAAGGTGAAGGTATGACTTAAGGCACCTGTACATACGATTATGAGAAAGAGAACTGTGTGATAGCAGCATAACAAAGACAGAAGCAATCAAGAGAATTATCTAGGAAAAAGAGTGGACAGAGACCCTTGTCTGCTGGCTCAAAACTTGCAGGTAAGATGAACTTGGAATTTTTCTGCTGTTATGGTCTCTCCTATGTTTGAAGGTACAGGATTTTGTGTGTATTTTTTAAAATAAGAAGGATCTCACAAAATACATCTTACTTTAATCAAACCTAAACACTGGCTAGAAGCTTTCACAAAAAGATAGAACAATGGATACCTTTTGAGTCAAGAAGCAGCTTAATAATGTCTTATGTAATTCACAATCCTTTCTAGCATGTATTTTTTCTACCATTTCTTAGTGCAATGAAGTTAGACAAATGCCAAATCCCCAATGTTACGAGTTCAGTCTGACTGAAACAAGTCCCATGACTCAAAATTGCCCCAGTAAAGGAGATGGAATAATAGCTTATATGGTAGTGTATTCTCTATACATAAGCATGTTGTAACTTCAATAAAAGCTCTATTTTCAAAGCTGCAATAAGAAAGCCTTTGCCTGATGGTTAGAGCAAATGCAAATGCAGATGTTTTGAACAGCTGTGTCTGCCTGAAAACACTGCACCTGCCCTCCATTAGCTTTAGTTTACTATGGTAGGCTTGCCAACCCAAAAATTTATAAAATCCCTCAACATATGGAGCTAGTATTTACCTCGGAGCCAAGAATGTTCATTCTAAAAACTCTTAAGATCACTGTGCGTGCCTGATTTAAAAGCTGAACACTAGATGGAGCCATGTCCTTGCAGCACTGCTAGCTAAATTTAGCTCGTTACAGCCGTCTCAGGTATAATTCCAATCAGTTACATGCAAGCGGCCACATCAATGGCTTGTTTAAATGTCTTTAAAAATGCTGCACAAAAGTAACAGTACGTTCCTGAAAGCCTTTTTTAAGAACTGCATGCGTCCATGAAAGCTTCTGGAATAAAAACAGAAGATTAGAAAAAACCCCAGCTCAACAAGTATAGTACTCTCTAAGAAAACTATTTATATAGTAAGGAATTTTTTAAAAATTTATTTCATCTCTAAGAGATCTCTGAAAAGAATACTTTTATATCACGTGTACTGCTACAAAACAGTTCAGGCTCTAAACTAGAAAGCAAAAAATAATAAGTTCTGGTTTAGTATCAAGTAGCTGTAGCTGTCCTGCAAGATTCCAAGGAAATTTCAAGTGTAATTTTATGTAGAGACAAAATACTTGTATTTAAACTCTCACCTTTAATATTTCATGTTAACTCCACCAAATAATGACAGGGAAAAAAAAACCCCACAACCGTATCTCACCCATTAAAAAAAAAGCATACTACATACGTTAAAAAAAGGTTTCAAAGGATAAGAGGTTGTCCACCTTACCAGAGGAAACTGTTAAGATGACTGGCCACAAATCTCTGCCAAAGATAAGGCAGGCTACACTTTCTAATGAGACATAATGGATTAGCTGTATGGAGTCAATGGGGAAGGATTCTCCAATCCATTATTTCCTGTCTACAGCTGATTTAACCAAATTTACCTGAAAGGAAATCTCTGAGTATTTAAATGGATCATTTTTTCACAAACAAGAGATTATACAGTACTTGCAGTTTTCACAGTCCTGCATCACAATGTTTATTCATTGTTTTAATTCTGGTGTTTCATAGCCTGCACAGTCTATGAATATGAGTACTATGATTTGGGGAAAACAGTGAAAACGCACGGTGACTAACCCTTGCTGTAGTCTTCTTGGAGTAAAGCTTTTGATAAAGGAGGACACGAGGTCTTAGGTATCTCTTGTGAGAATTCTTGAGTGAATTGATAATAAAAGATCAGAATGGTTGGGACCGAATTTAGACTACACTAATTTACTCTCCTTTATAAACAGTAAAATTAAAGCTTTATAAAAACTTCTCAGCAAATAAACAGCAATTTGGAACACACTGCAAATTAATGTATCAAAACATGAATGTTTTTTCTTGCCTTATAGCCATGAGCTTCTATCTAGGGAGCATAGCCATTTAGAGCCTTCCACCTAAGTGTCTGTTTTGGTCCTTACCCTTCAGTGACTATGAACCATTTTGCCACTTTTCTGTACAATCCAGCAACAGACCAAGCACTGCACTATGAAAGAACCACTAATGTGCACGCTTGCAAGATCAGGAACATAGCCTGAACTCAAATATAGGGCCTCTCAGCATTGTCAGCATGACCCATAATATGACTGTGACACTGAGGAAGGGAAACTCGGACAGTTCTGCTCAGTAATTTTAACAAAATAAAAATATACCCTGGTTGTTATATCTAGTTCTGATAAACAGTTACAGAGCAACATCTGGGATCTCACAGATAACTTTCCCCTGATTTTCAAGATGGAAGAAATGAAGACGGTCAGTAAAGCAGTGTCCAGCAGTGTTCTCTTTTGAGGTTCCTAACTTGTTTTTTTCATCGGTCTTTTCTGAGAAGGATGGTTCTGCTCTCCCTGAATAAGCTTCATTGTTATATAAGAGAGGCAAAGACTTAACACAATGCCAGCTTTGTGACAGTAATGTCTCTGCGCTACTACAGAAAAGAAACAAACCAGGGGGACTTCTGGAATGGTAATTAGCCAAGAGACCAGGACAGCTGAGGGAGTGCTTCTGAAACCCGCTACACTGAGGAGAGATGCAGAATTAATCTACTCCCGTTAAACAGGATAGACAGGATCAACAAGCTAAAGGTAGCCCAAAATTAGGATTAGCTCTGCTTTCTGGTGGTACAATAATATTATTGTAGTATCAGCACTCCATATATCAAACAATACAGAAACAGAACAGCAAAATTACTACACATGAACACTGCAGCAGTAGCAGGACAGCGGTTTGTATTCTATGCCTAGCCTGTGCTGCTCAACCTCCCTCTGCTTCTACCTTTGCTTCCCAAGGGAGTGGCAGTAATTGCAGAGCTTCTCCGTTCCAGGTCCATTCCCTTCACAGCACTAGGGCAAGGCCATGCTCGCCTTCCCATGCGCTGGCTGACACTGCTTTTCCCAACAAAACACTGGAGTACAGCATGTACCAGCAAGGTCATGACTATTCCAGCTCAGGAACGAACAAGAAAGCAGGTAACGTGGCCATAAAGGAGTAAATGAGTCCCAGATGCTGCTTCCATCGTGCTTCCAGTCACCTGTCCTAGACCACCAGTGAGGCTCATTGGGGAAAGGCAGGGGAAACCAGGCTGGTGTTGAAGATGACTCCCAGCTTTGCCCAGATTGTTCTAAATTCCACTGACCCTTTCTCAAATAGCTTAACGATACCGCAACAAGCAGTGCTATAGTAATACTTTTTGGTATCAGTATTATGAAAGATGCAAATGTTATCAACCATTACAACTTCAACCACTCCTCTATGTGACCTATTTAAGATGACTACCTCAAAGCTGAGAGGAAAGACAAGAAAAATTCAGAAGCAAGACAAACTAATATACAGCCTGTGGATTCTTGCCAGTTTTAATTATTCTTTAGCAAGTTCAGAGATGTTTCAAAGGCGTTCTACTTCACTTCCCATTTCCTCCCTCTCCCACCTTAGGCATGTTTGCTCTGTAAGTGAGGTCCAATTCTTCATCTGGAATATCTGGTATGTGATTCATGGTCTTGGTCTCATGCATAAGCTTAAAAGAAAACTGAAGTCATACGTAACTCTTCACAAGGTCAGAGAGAGCATCAGTTGGTAACAGGGAACAAAATGTTTCAACATTCCAAATACAGTACAAGCTTACGCTAGGCAAAAGGAAATTCTAAAATTGAGGACAATTATTATAAGTAATAGAATTACATTAACACATCATGCATATGAAACATGCTTAGACTATTTAGATGGAAATCAACATCATGGCAGAGGGAAGACAGCAAACAGTGGTGGTTGAAATACAACCACTCCACAAACAGCGAAAAGTGCGTGTTAATTACATTGTCGACGTTACAAGTACTCGAAACTCTTTATCTCACTTTCTGCTAAATGCTTGCTGTTGTTTAGCCAACTCCCTAGAAAACTGACATAATCAGAAGTACTCAGCACATGCATGCTATGAAAGTGCTGTGTCAGTATCACACACGTGACCTGTTTGGGTGAAAAAAAGACAACAGAAACCCTTATCAGATTTTGGATCAGCAAGGCACTCAAAGCGACCAGTAAACTCCCAGTGACCGACACTTTTCATATTTCTAGAAGTAATCCTGGCACCTCTACAGACACAAGAAAAACCTACACCTTTTGCGTGTGTTTTATGTGTTTGCTTCCTTGCAGACTTCCTGTACTAGAGATTTTTGCAGTCATAAACATAGTGTTAGATAATGGTTTTAAAACAGGAGTCAACAGAAATATGACATAAGACACACCAATATAAATGGTCTATGCTATTATTTTACTAACAGAATTAACATAGGTAAGAGTGCTTTAAGTAGAAAAATACTCGATTTTTAAATCTTTGGAAAAAGAGAGTATTGCTTTTCTCGGTTAATAACATAACGTTTTTGTTAACCTAGAAAATCCCTGGTATGTAGGAGGAGATACCAAAAATATGCCTGGTAGCACTATTTAAAACAACAGAGTTTTAACCAACTGTTCTCCTTCCAGTAATAATGGTAAAAAGAATAGAACTCAGAAATTGGGGGGAGGATGGGGGGAGGGGCAAGTTGTGCGAACCCTTCCCTTCACACTGAAATTCACTGAGGGTCTGGTAACACCAGACACCGTCTCTGCAAGGAGGTGATGGGAAAGGCTCCTGTGGAGCCAAGGTCTGGAAGGCTGCAGCGCGGACAGGCAGACCTCAGCAGGCCCTGCAGGGAACATCGCTGCGGAAAGTGAGGTACTGCGAGGCAGGAGAGGTCACGAAGCGCCAGCCAGGAGCCCACTAGAAACCCTGAAACAGGATTCGCCCCCGCGACCCGTCCTGTCAGGGACGGGGCCGCG